AAATTTTAAAAATATAATTATATATAGATATAAAGAGAATTTAGATTTTCTCATGTGTCAATATAATAATTTTTTGAGTAGTAATACTCACACTGAACATTTGCTTAACCGAATAAATTTTAATTGGCTAGTTATGTCAAATAGATGGCTCCACTTCATTATTTGTTGCATAATTGACCAATTAAAAAAAGTAGGTCTAGCAATTCACTATAACTATTCGATACAAGAATCATTTTCTTAACTTAATATTGCATATCCAATGCTGATTTTTGTTCAACCAGTCAATAAGGAAGGTAAAGACAAGTGGTAGGTGCCATTAAGTGGGAGACTTAAATGTTAATTAATGTAAGAGCATGTAATTAAATTACTAGTCTATCATACACCAGCCATAACTGAATCAATTGTTGCACTTGGGTTTTTGGTTATGGATGTTGCAAATGCAAACTCTTAGTCTTATGTGCAACCAATTTGTTTAAATTGATGCAACCGGTTGCAGCTATATATGTCGTGTACTCGGATTCTTTCTGTAATTTTTAGCATTGTACGGTTTTTTTTTAACACTGTTACATTTATTTTCAATACATTTATACCTACTTATTTCAATTATATTTAATATGTTGAAAAACGTATATAATATATTGAAAAATAGATATAAGCACCATTATAGCAGCAGGGGAGATTACCAGAGAATCGGAAGTATATAGAATTATAGATATTGTTGAATTAAAAAATGAATGGTCCAAAAGTTGCATGTTGCCTAGTGGAACCCACTTCCTATAAGTAGTAATACACTAATCGTGTTACAGTTTTGATAAATGTGAAGTTTTTACATAGGAATTTGATGCGTGAATGTGTTTTTAGTGGTGGTATTATTTTAATAATGCCGTGAATCTCTCTCTCTCTCTCTCTCTCTCTCTGTTGTTTTTGCAATTCAATACAAGAAGCGGCATAACACTGTTAAATTAAGATGCAACATCTTGTAATGTTGCTTCTTAATGTGTGAATAGTAAGTATTGTGTTGTTCAAATTGTTGAATTGTTTTTTATATGGTGGTATAAGTATATAAAACACTTTTAAAGTATATTATATATAATATTTTTATCCCTATTTGAAAAAGTGTGTAAAAAACCTTGTTAGAGGAATCTATTTGCACAAAATTAAAACTTTAAGGGGTATATTTTTTACACATGAAGAGTGTGATATGCACTTTGCACTTGATATATATATATATATATATATATATATATATATATAAGTGTTGTATTCATGAAACAAATGGCCTATCAGATATAAGTATTATGTTGTAAATTTTAGGCTCAGTTTGGTTAGTAAGAAATAGAAGGAAAAGAAAAGAAAGAAAATGAAAGGTTATGAATTTTATTTATTTTTATTTTTTTAATGTTTGGTATAAAAAATTGAAAGAAAAAAATGAAATGGAAGGATTTGGAAAAATATATTAGAACTTGATGAATACGTTAAAGTTTGATGGGTTGATTTCGTTATTCGTCTAAAAATGAAAGTAAAGGAAAGAAGAAAAAAAACTAATATTTTTAATGAAACTTTGTTAATATTAAATTTGTTATAATTTTAATTTTTTTTTTCAAACATGTTTATTACTATTTGATTTTTTTTTCTCTTTTAATTAACCAAATAGTTAACATTATCATTTTTTTTTTCTTTTCTATCGTAATAAAGTTATCATTTTTATTTTTTCTTTTTCACTTTAGTTTATAAACATATCCTTAATGTGGTAGGATTTAACTTGCTAATCTCTCAAATATTCTATTTTTTATTATTTTATATTTAAAATACTTGTCATTTTATTTTTGTGCCACATTAATACTATATTCGTCTTAAAATAAATGTCCATTTATCATATTTTTTAAGATGAGCATCTATTATGAAATGAAAGAACTAGTAAGTATGAATTTATGAGTAAGTAAGTACTGTCATTTTATTAATTTTATTTAACTTTGGCAAAATTTCATGATTTTGTCTTGATTCTCTTCCAGAAGTATCTAGCAACATTTGAAAACATTTTGCTGTTACTTTTAGTAGATATTCTAGAAAGGTTTTTTTTTTTTTTTTTTTTTCCAAAGTTATTTTAGTTAGATTAGATGTTCAGTCAACATCAATGGAGCCCCCATTCAATTTGAATTAACAACCAATTGTAAGACCATGGTTGTGGCCGGTCATAAGTGGTCCCAACCCAAAAAGACACAATTCAGTTAAGGTATGGAAAAATAAAGTTGTAATTAAAGAAGATTATAGCTTTGAAATCTCGCGCTTAGGATTAAAATATTGACAAAGTCAGCTTGTTTTGTTTTGTTTTTGTTTTTTATTTTAAATAAAAAACAAGTTTGCCGTTAATTTTCAAATTGAAAAATATGATTATCTGGATATAATATGAAACTATACATTGCGCCAAATGGTCTGGACTCTTGAGCACTGGGTTCAACCAGTCAACAATGGAAGTTCACGTGGCACCTGACATTTGGTGGTAGACTTAGATTATCACAAGGGTGAGAGCGTCATTAAAGAAGTGAGTGGAATTTGCATTGTTTAACTTATTGAACAAGGTGACATGTGAAATGTCATTATGAAACCGTAACTTATTGAACAAGGTGACGTGTGAAAATATCATTATGAAAAGAGTAAAGAGTAAGGTGAAATGTTAAACCGGTCTGGTGTTCATTTTATTACTTAACTTTATGATTTGTACATAAATTTGAAGTCTGTTCTTCATTTTATTGTTTTACTTCATAATTTGTATATCTTTTTTACTTGACCTTTTGTTTCTGTACTGCGTTGACTTGGCCTTTATGTCTTTAAAATGATATATAATATCGTTTTCATACTAAGAAAAAAATATATATTGAAGGAAATATTTACAAGACTGACTTATTAAATATTTAATGATCACCTCATACATTATCATTATCATTACGAGCCAGGGGCGGAGCTAGGAATTTGTTTCAGGGGGGCACCATATTAAAGATGATAAATTATATTTTTTTTAAGCAAAAAGTGATGCAAGACAATAAATCAAAAAATAAAACTGTACTAATGGTGGAATAATAGTATTTAATAATTTGAAAAATAATTATTTAAAAAAATAGGAACATAAAAATACCGACCTTTTTTTTTTCGAAAATATAAAAATACCGACCTTAAGGCAACAAATTTTAATTACCAAACTTTGAAGAGAAAAAAAAAAAAAATAGTTTGAATAAAGGAATGTAACTTTTTTTTAAAGAGAATATAAAGAAGAAAAAGAAGAAGAGGAGGAGGAGTAAGAATGAAAAGAAAAGAAAAATTAAATATATTTTTTAAAAATAATTATTTTAGTGGGCATTTTTGTAAAATTTTATAAATTATAGGCCTATTTGCAATAAAACTTAATTGGCCCAAGGGTAAATAATTATTTCAGGGGGCATTTTTCAATTTTTTATAAATTATTGGCCTATGTGTAATAAAAATTAATGGCCATTTTCTTAAAATAAATTATTTCAGGGGAGCATTTTGAAAACTTTTATAAATTATAGGCCATTTTGTAATTAAAATTAATGAGCCAGCATGGGCCAGGGGGGCATGAGCCCCACTGGGCCTATGCTGGCTCCGCCCCTGTTCCGAGCTATTGCATTCTTTTAATTGGTGAACAAGTTCAGATTATGTTATAAATAAGGTTCGTTTTGTTGAGACATCTTGAATAAATTTAATAATATTAATTTTATAATTTGTTTGAGCTTTGATACTATGAAATATATCGATCTATTTTTTGCTTTCATTGTATCACATTTATTTAACGTATCACTAAAAATATTATTTCGATTGAAGTCGTGTTTGTTTGGATTCAAAATTGCTCCCAAGTTTGCCCATAGACTCACTTGCTAAAATGGGAATGGCAAAATAAGCAATAATATAATAATAGTGGTATAGTTTTGATATTTTACGAAGAGTTAAATAGTAGAATAATAAAGCGTGAATAGATATATATATAGATTGCAACGCGTCCCTTTAACTTGCCGGCTTCGTCGTTCGCAAAACTGTTACGCGTCCACGCCGTGTACACGTAAAACTTCCGCGGGACCCCTTTACCACTCCTTTTGAGCAAAATTACTTTTTTATTTTTTATTTTTATTCTTATGTGGGTGAACAATGAACATAGTTGTAGTTTTTATATTTAAATTTTACCAAATTAATAAAATGCACCATCTTACCCCAAAAATAAATAAGTAACAAAAAATAATAATAATAATAATAATAGAAGAAAAAACTATATGGTAAGTGTACTGTTTTGCTTTTGTAATACTTGAAGTGAAAGTTTAGAATTGTTCGTACATGAAAAATTAAAAGGTAAATGTACGGTTTGTTTTTATACATACTTAGATTTGAGTACAAGTTTAGAATTACTCGCAAACAACAAATTATTGGTTTTGCTATGATCTAATATTTTGGTATTCAAATTAAAAATGTCGAACACTTGATTAGTCCTTATCAAATAAACAAACAACACCTTTGAAACCATCCATATTTAGAGGGTAGTCATATTCTTATTTTTTCTAAATGTTTGCAATGAGAGTACAAATTTATCACTACTGAAGAGAATCATGTGTGAATTCAGACTTGGGGCTATAAATAAGCAAATATATATCCCCATTCAATAAAATTTAATAAAAAGGAAAAAAAAAAAAGCATTTTTAATGTATAAATTCATCTTATTTCTTTTTTTTTTGCCCTTTTCCTTTCCCTTTCCCATTTCATTTTTTTTTTTCTCTCACTGGATTCATGAACCAAAGATATCTCAATACAATATTTTTTTTAAAAAAAAAACGAAAATCATGTAATAATACCAGATAATAAGTTCCACAAATATAGGGCACACTGGAAGTTTTCAGAAAGTCCGGGGCAAAGTGGGAAATAGAAAGCCCCCTTCCTTGTTAGTTCTTACAGATCGAATTTAAAACGTCTTCTCCATAAATAACCCTCCATACGCGGGTCTCACACTCCATTTACGGAGAGATAATAGATTGATATATATATATATATGCGTGTGTAACTGTATATATATATATAGATATCTATCGCTGACGCAGCAGAATACTGATTCAGTACAGCAACAAGCTCCACACATGGCTAACAGACTATCCCTAAGCTTCCTCTCACTCCTCTTCCTCCTCCTCTGCGGCGTCGCCTACGGAGGCCGTCTCATCTCCGACGGCGTCCATGACGATTTCCGCCAACCGTTCCTCCGCCTCTATCCGTTCTCGGCATCAGATTCTTGCGAGCAGTCGTACGGTTTTATGCCCTGCACTACCACCGCACTAGGCAATCTCTTCCTCATCATTGTCTATGGTTACCTAATGTTCCTCGCCGCCACTTATCTATCCAATGGAAGCGAGCTCTTGTTAGAGATTCTCGGCCCTGGTATCATCGGCGGCCTCTTTCTTCCCATTCTCGGCGCTCTTCCTGATGCCATGCTCATTCTTGGTACGTATATAGTCTCATTGAACTCTTTGTTCGATTTTATTTTCATCTGGATTTTCCTACCGGAGGACATTATATAAAAAGATTGATTTTTTATTATTTTTAAATTGTTTTGGGTCTGATTTGTTCATTGTTCTGTTTTTGTGTGTTATGAAAAATGTAGAAATTTTATTTAGAAATTTGTTTCCTAGTGTATTTGCTGAAAATCGAGTTAAACGGCCAAATTTCACATCTCTGAAAAGTAAAAAGTGGGTTAGAAAACAAAGTCAATTTGAGAGTTTTCTAGAAACTGTTTTTTATTCTTCCAACTTCTATATTAGACTGTTCATGAATCATGCCACGTAGAGTAGAAGGTAGGAGGTGGTTTGAACTGGTGCGCTGAGAAGGTCAATGGAATTTAATGCAGTTTTAAAATTTAGGGTAAATAGTGTTGGAGAATTCCAGAGGAAGGATGTAATTTAGGATAAGAGAGATTTGGGGATTTTGTGATCATAATAGGCACAAAGCTGTTGCATCTTCCACAAAAAAAAGTTTGATCTGTCCTATTTGATGAGCTCTATGTCCAAGCGTCTCTCAGTTACTAGCAATCATATATGAAATTCTCTTGCATGATGCACTAATTTTGATGTTTTGGTCTGGTTCTTGAGTCAATTAAGCATGCAATAATTTCTATGCGAGACAAGGCTAAAATGTGCAAAAAAAAAAAAAAAAAAAAAAACACCATAATAAATGTGCAAAAAATAAATAAATAAACGCATTGTTTTTACCAATATAACTGCTTTTTCTGTTTTTTTCCTTTTAAAATTATTATAGAAATAATTCTATAATTTCTTGATTTACCTTTACTCATGACACCCGTCTAGTTGCTTTCATAGGTGAATTGCGAAGATTCTTAAGGAAGATTAGATTTGCGAAGGAAACAAAATCAATCAGTAGAAATCAAAATTATAAATAAAGAAAGTTCCCAATTCTAATCTTGATTGAGAATCTTCACCTTCCTCAGTATTAAGGAGTATAAAAGGGTACCTAAATTAGGTGAAATCAAGACCTAACATATGTGAAGAAGTCAAAAGCTAAAGATTAAAGCTAAAGCCAGTATCTTATAAATAACACCGAGTACAGTGAAAAAGATAGGTCAGCAACTCAAATTTATGACATTATTCTGTGAGAGTTATGGAATGCATGCTGGGACCTTTTCTTGAGAAGAGAGGATCCTTATCCCAGTGAAAAAGGGACAGCCAACAAAGAGTGGCTCCCATTAGAGGATATGGACCTCAATATGACCCACCTTATCAATTTTTGGTATGTCTTACACTTGCAATATCTGCACTTTCCCTAGGCCTTTCATTTCTTCTCAAGTTTTTATTAGGACCTTTGTCTAATTTATGATTCATTTATTGGGTTCTTTCTGCTACTGTTTTACAGCCATGACAAGGCATATACCCAACATTTAACCACATGTTACTTCTATTCACTCCCTTCTTTTTGTACAGTATCTGGACTCTCTGGAAGTGCAGAAACTGCTCAAAGTCAGGTATCAGTTGGAATGGGCTTGCTAGCTGGCTCAACAGTCATGCTGCTTACAGTAATATGGGGAACCTGCATTATTGTCGGCAAGTGTGATCTTCAGGATTCAATTGCAATAGATGAAAAAGATACCAAGGGATTTGACTTGACTGGTATGTCCCTGGACTTGTGTTTATTTATTTATTTATTTATTTTTATCTATTTTGTGAACATGAGATATGATTTGAAGCCAATTCGCTATGGATTACATAATCCAAAATTTACTCCTATGCAGGGTCTGGTGTTAGTACTGATATCTGGACTAGCTATGCTGCAAGGATCATGGCAGTATCTGTCATCCCTTTCCTAGTCGTCCAGTTACCACAAGCTGTCCATTCAACATCAGGAAGGCATTTAGCAGTCTTGATTGCACTTATTATCTCCCTCCTACTACTTGTTTCTTATTGCCTTTATCAGGTAATTATATTTTCCATGTAGTTATTGAATGTATTGTGGAGTGATGCATCGATTTATTTATTTATAGTTAGCATTACGACTGTCTTATTAAATTTTCCCTTTAACTTTATGTTCACACAACACTATGAAACCACTATTTTTTTATCTACCCTGTTTTAAGTCTATGGTATCCTCCTTATACTCCCATTTATTAGATCTTGGAAATGGTCGTATTCTTGGTCACAGAGTTTCACAATACCATTACGTGTACTTTCTGTAATCTGAATGAAAGAAGTACCAACAAATAAGTTTCATACCATATTGACTCTGGAAGAACTTCTACATAAGCTAGCGTTTTGGAGAGTGAAATCATCCTTAATTGCATTTTACTAATTATGTTCAAAATAGAAGGTACATTTGACTTTTCACTACTCTCTGTTTATAGAATGAGTAGAACTCATATGAATGCAGCCATGTAGTTACTGTGAGCTCTGTTCCTAGCCATGTAGTTGGTTGGTTAAATCTTTACTGGTTATTATGGTGTGAATCTTGCGACTCTTCAGACTTCAGTTATAATTGAATCTTGCGACTCTTTAGACTTCAGTTATAATTCTTCTTTTTTCTTTCAAATTTTAATACAGGTGTTTCAGCCATGGATCCAAAGCAGAAGACTTGCTTTTGTAAAACATAAGCATGTAATATCGGGATTTCTGAAATATATGAGAACGAGCTCACTAGAAGGGCTCCTCACAGATGAGGGAAAACTTAATGAAGATGCTATAAAGAAGTTAGTTTTCTCTAAACTTCCTGCTGCTGCCTTTTTTGAAGACTATACTGTTTTCTGACTTAACGGATTTTAACAGGCTTTTTAAGATGACCGACAGTGATGGTGATGGATATATTTCAGCTCCTGAATTAAGAGCACTGATTGTAGGAATTCGATTTGAAAAGATAGGAGAGGATGATGCTGCCGATAAAGTGATGAAAGATTTTGACATGTCTGAGGATTCTAATATTGATCTGCAGGAGTTTACCAATGGAATCTTAAAATGGCTAGAGGAAGCCAAGCGATATGGTGCTTCTCCTGAGACTCTGAATGACTTTCATGAGGTATGTGTCATGATGACTCACTTTGTATATTGTACAACCAGGATTATAACATCATCGAACAAAATGCATTTGCAGCAATCAAAGCGAGAACATTATCTATTGGGGGATCAAACTGACGATGCTGCTGAGGGTGTTGAAAATCCCAGGTGGACCACATTTAAAGCAGCATTATTATTGTTGCTGGGAACTGTCATTGCTGCTGCATTTGCTGATCCTTTGGTAGATGCTGTTGATAATTTCTCTAGTGCCACAAGCATTCCTTCTTTCTTCATCTCGTTCATTGCACTGCCTATGGCAACGAACTCCAGTGAGGCAGTGTCAGCTATTATCTTTGCCAGCCGTAAAAAATTGAGATCTGCCTCCTTAACATTTTCTGAGGTTTGTTTTTCAGTTGATGTTATCATTTCCTATATATGGCGTTGACGATCATAGCACCTATAGTCATGCAACTAGCTTCTCGATCATTGGGCATTAATCTTTTTGGTTATTCCAATTATTGACTATAATACTTAAAATTGTCCTTTCCACACCATAGAGTGACGGGGGAGGGGGGTTACCATGCCTAGCAACTGCATCTGTGTATGTCTTGATGTAATATCCGAGCAGGGGGCAGTCCTTGTTACACATGCTCGGTGACATTGTTGGTGTATGCCTTGGTGTTGTAGCTGAGTATGGCCCTTGTACAGGATTGCTTGCTTGTTACCTATATATGACGGCCAAAAAAAAAAAATCCCCCATGATTTCAAACTTTCCATCCTACTAAAAAAGGAGAGTAGGAATTGTTAAATCAATATATACATATTTGAATTTGGGGATTTAATCTGCATTATTTGCTATTTTCAAATTGTGGAACAATAACGAATATTATACACTATCCTCAATATATTTGCACGTTTAGGGAAATTGCAACCTGCTACAAAGTGGTACTGATACTATATCTTATTTCCTTGTGTTTTTGGTGCAGTTATATGGTGCTGTAACCATGAATAACGTACTATGCCTTTCAGTGTTCTTGGCCCTTGTTTACGTCAGGGGACTGACCTGGGACTTCTCATCTGAGGTGTTGGTTATTCTCATTGTGTGTCTTGTAATGGGTGCCTTTGCCAGCTTCCGGACCACTTTCCCTCTCTGGACTGCTTCTGTAGCTTTCTTGCTTTACCCATTCTCTCTGGTTCTGGTGTACGTTCTTGACTATGTTTTTGGCTGGTCATAGATTGATAGAGGTAAATGGTAATGCTCTTTGGTGACTCTAGTTAATCATCTTTTGCATATTACGTTCTAATTAACTGATTAGGATTTTTTTTTTTTTTTGGTATGTTCGAGTTACATAGCATTACCACAACTAACTTTATTTCGGAGCTATGACATGGCAAATTTTCTAGTAATATAGAAAGCCTATTCTTCGTCTTGCCTTCTCCCCCCCTTGACATGTTTTTAGTATCTTGTATAATTTTCAAATAAAAAAAGGGAGTTTAGTTTTTCTGTTCTTGTCTAGCATTCGAAATCTTTATATAGAATTATATTCCTGACTGGTTTGACCTCAATGCGAAGTTGTGAGCCCAAAATAGAGCTCAGATTATAGAGACATGGAAAATATATTCCAACTATAAAATGGAAAAACTAGAACAGCAGAAGACTAAAATTAGGGGAGTGATTCATTTTATATATTTATTTTCCCTATTGGCAAGACGATGTTTTATTCAAATTACCGAAAAAAACAAACAGACAATGTTTTTATTCAGCTGTTTTAAAAGTATATCAAGTTGTCCATTCTTTACCAGTCAGTTTTGTTAAATAATATACCAGCAACTCGCTCGTGTACAGATTATTGTTGGGAGAAAAATAGAATAATGTACGTATTGGTGTTGGCATAATATGTGCAGACTCTCATTCCGTTAAATAAATGAATACAGACTACAAGCAAAAGAAAATCCAAACACAGGGAGGAGAGAAAAAAAACAAATCAATTCCAGAATTTCCCCAGAGATAGAGACTGACGTAATGTCATTTTGGTCTCAGATCCGATGGTCTCGGTCAATTACAGATTGTTATTATTATTATTATTGTGATCGGTTAGGTTCATATAATAATTTTTTCAAAAGTTTATGACCTAACAGATGGATGGCTTATATAACATTTTTGTTTTTGATTATGAAGTGGGCTTTGATCTCAAATTTGGTTTAATGATTCAAACAGGACAAACTTGAGTATCGAGTAATAATCGCATTTGGAATTTAGTTTGATCCAAGCCAAGCTCAAACAATAAAAAGCTCACCTTAGCTTAATTCAATCAAATACACATCTTTGTCCATATTCGACTTTTATTGAAATTGTTGTCCCAAAACATCTCTTTATTTGGTTTTTTCACAAATGCCTTAAAAGATCAAGGTGCTGTATGATAAAATAAAAAAAATTAAGCACTAAAAATTTTGAGAGCTGAAAATTTTAAGTATTGAAAATGAAAATTTCTCCAATACTAATTTAAATTTAAACATTCAATGTTTAATAAGTGAAGTCATTTAACTTGATATCTCAAACATTGTAAGTAGAATTTGTTCAGTAACTTAGTAACCTTGAGAATGACGATATCCAAAGTGGTCCCTTTTCTGTAATTTCATTTACTTTTCGGCACATGCAAGATGTACAACAAAGCAATCAGGAAGGCCCCTTTCCCTCTTCTCAAACAATGAAAGAGGCCTGTTTGGTTTCCCTAATAATTCAAAAAACTGTTTTCAGATAAATAAAAAACTTGTCCTCTTAAAACAGATATTTTTTAACTAAATTTTCAAAAAACTGTAAATGAAAAAAAAAAAATTATACTGAAGTTATCTGAAAGCAGAAAACTATAATGTCAACAATCTAAAGCCAAACAGTCCCTAACACTCTCTCCAGAGTCTCCACACACAAACAGGCACATCCATGGGCCATTTCTTTCGTAACTGATCATCTGCAACCATAATTGAGGTCAGATTTTGGTGACCCTACAAAAGCATAACAAGACAAAGCACAATCAGATTCCCACAATCCACATGCAAAAGTTTGTTACCTATCAAGGGTGCCTGACTCATCCACCATCCAAACAAATAAACCCAAAACTTTAAAAAACACAACCATCAAACAAGATTGTAACACCCAAAACAAACAAACTGTACATCACTCCCTATCTTTCTTCTCTCCCCACTCTCACATGGCCAAGATTTGGGCTTCTGTCTCTTTCATACTCATTACTTACACATGCAATTTCATACCTTCACTTTACCCATCAACCATTAAAATTTCATTTCAAGAAGTTCCTAGTGTGGTCTCATGGAGAGGAACAAATGGCCTGCCAAACACACCATAAGAAGTTGCCTCCTCCTCATTTCTTAAAGTGAAACAAATTTGGCCTTTTATAACTTCAGATTCAGATCAACACCTCCTACTTCACCACTGCAGTTGCCCACAGTACTTGCTGCTTGGCCAATTTGAGCTTTTGCATTCAGAAAGAAATTGTAAAATGGCTGTTGTTGAATCAACCCACTTGGTCCCTGCCGATGAATTGGTTCTTCCATGCTTCCCTAGAAATTTACATAGAAGCAAAAATTTTAAGATATCACCATTAAAATGAATCAGAAAATGGAGGCATTCGTAATGGTTTTTTTATTTGTCGTTTAATCTTACTTGATAATGACAAGGTAGAGGTTCAACTTCAGATAATTCGCGGTAATAGGGGACTACACAAGCTGCAGAGGTCTTATATTTTGTGCTTGGACGTGGCGAACTAGCTGTGGGAGGGGCCAACGTGAGAAAATCTCCGTTCAAACCCCCATTTCCTCTGCTAATTTTATCTGAATTCGATTCATACATTGTAGTTGAGCTTAAAGGGCTTTCTCTGGACAGGGTACAACAATAATGTGAATATATAGCAATTACACCATTATCCAAGTATATAAGGTTAAATAGATCAGAAGTAAGTTAACCTGAAAACAGGGTTGCCGGGTTCAATATTACTCGCTCCTCCATTGCCACATGAAGCTGATTCATCTGATCTGTTGATGTGAGGCGCAAGATAGGTAGGAGGAAATTTGCACCGGAAAGAAGGGCTTGTTGGATTGTCTAGAGAGAAAGGATATGATCTCTTCACGCCAACCATCTACATTTTGTACAATCAACCAACCAAATTAATGAAACAAATTCTTTGAATTCGGTCATGGAAAGTAATAAAAATTGAATTTACGAAAATCCGTCATTATAAAACATATCTCAACATCAAAGTAATGTAGGGATAAAGGTTTAAAATGAAACAATGGAGTATGGGAAAATGATCTTTCAAGCTCTCCATTTTCAACATTTCAATTGATTGCTTGACCTATTATTAGCTCTATTTCATTAGTAAAACCAATTCCACAAAATTCCATTCAATGAATTTTCTATTTTTTTCTTTTATTCTAACCAACAGTCCTTGAGACAATTGATAAAGCTGAGTTATGTAGAATTTAACCCAAAAAAAAAAAAAAATCTACCGAACTCCAACAAAGGAAAAATGTATAACTAAATTATAATGGTTAATATAAAATAGAAGAATTGACAAAGCTCTCCATTTTCAACATTTCAATTGCTTGACCTATTATTAGCTCTATTTCATTAGTAAAACCAATTCCTCAAAATTCCATTCAATGAATTTTTTATTTTATCTTTTATTCCAGAAACAGTCCATGAGACAATTGATAAAGCTCAATTATGTAGAATTTAACCATAAAAATTCCCATGTTCTAGTTGTCTCCATCTTAATTAAAAACACATTTTCTACTGAACTCCAAACAAGAGAAAAATGTATAACTAAATTATACAGGTTAATGTATAATAGGGTGAGAAAATTCAATTAATTAATACGAACATTACCTTCTCTTCCTCTGGGCATATAGGTGTGTAGTAGTTGCCATAATGGCTTTGGTTTGAAGGGGGCTCCATCTGAAAATTTATAACAGATGATGAAGAAGTCCCTGAAGAGACATTCACCTACAATTTCAAGACATAATTTTTTTTCGTCAATTCAAACAAAAAGCCAATAAAAATCCCAAAGAATAATTAACAACTCATGAAGAATATTCGGAGAATGCAAAACATTCAATTGGCAAACCATTGATGAAGAAGAAGGTTGCTGAAATTGTTGTGCTCTGTGCATCACATTTTGGGGAGGCCAAGATTCAAAAGGCAAATTCATATTAGACCTATAAGTGAATCCATGGTGATCCAACCTATGATTCTCCCCACCATCAAGATTGTATTCACAATTCCATAACTTAGACCAATTTCCATGCCCTGAACCCATAACAGCTGACCAACCAATCTCACCATCACCTACATTCAACGGTTTCGAAAATGGTACAGAATTTGGATTCAAAACATCCAAATTTGGAATCAATGGGGCTGGTCTAAAAATAGAATTCTTGGAAGAGAAATGGGTGGGTGATGGTGGTGGCAAAGGGGAAGAAGGGGATGGGTTATGCCTAAAATTAGCACCTTGAACAGCTAAGCATGAAGAATTAGGTGATATAATTGAATTGGGTGGCAAAATAGAAGCAGTTGGTACAGCAGCATCTTTCTTTTGTTGTTCCTCTAACCTAATCTTCTCAAGCTGAGCAACACCAAGTCCTCTTTGTGGGACTTTTTTTTGCTTCAGCTTTTTTGAAGATCTACTACCACAACCACCACCACTGCCACCACCACCACCACCACTACTGCTATTACTATACTTTTGGGTGTGTGCCTCTTGAACCATACTTGTCTCAATCATCTATCTAACTACAAGCAATAAGATAATGTTCAAGTAGTGAACCACCCTTATGGGCTATATATATGGAAAAAAAATAACCCATACCATAAATTGAGACACTGAATATCTTAAAAAAAAATCAAAATCTGAGGGTTTGAAGAAGAACCCAAATGGGAAATCTAGAGGAATCAAGAGAACCAAAGTCAAGAGGAACAAAAATCTCCATCCAAAAGATTACACAAAATCTCGCAGGTTACAGAGTCAAGATAGGCAACTTAAATGGAAACAAGAACCCCCATAATTCAGCAAAGCTCGTATATATATAGAGAGAGAGAAAAGTATATATAGAGAGAGAAATTATGTGAGAGCTTCGGATTTTTCTCAAACCCAGTGGTTGGTTTGTCTGAGAGACAGATCAGATCACTAAATTATGAAAACCCATTTTTTAAAAATTCAAACTTAAATGCAAATCTAAAGCAACTATTTGAATACCCTCTCTCCCTGTCTCACTAATTTCTCGCCCAAATCCTCGCTCCACTCGTTTCCTTCCTAGACCGACTCTCAAGACCCCTCTCTCCTCTCTCTCTACATATCATAGTCTCGTGTCTCTCTCTCTAAGTACCCACCATATTCTCAGACCTGGAGCTCTTTTTTCTCTCTCTAAATTATGGTTTGAGGTATAAAAGGAGTTAAGAGCCAATGTTGCTAGGCAATCTCACCTTCGCCGGTTTGTTGCATTTGAGGGTATCCTTGGCTGGCTTTTGCAGCTTTTGGACCAACCTGTGGGACCCAAAATAGTACTGACTGCTACACCAATACATATTCCATGCATGTAAATACTATAATTCTTCATTCATGATTCCACCTATTATATGATTCCATCTACATTTTGTACTTCATTTAACTGAACTCCTTAGTCACCTCCTTGCCATAACCAATTGGATAAATTTAAGAAATACTATTCAAATTAAAAAAAAAAAAAAAAAAAAGAAAAAAAGAAGAAGAACATTCTAAGCAAATGCACTCATTTTATTTTTATTTTTTTAAAAAATATATATATATTTAAATGACAAATTCACCCTTAATACTTGATTCTTTTATTTATGTGTAAGGGACAACTGTGTCATTTTACTTTAAAATTTTGGTGCATTTGATTAAAATGAAAATGCGAATAAGGCTCACTTGTGCAATATGACACCTTTTGCAAGGATAGGGATATCAAAATGGGAATAACGCTTACCATTGCACTATAAAGCTTAATATTATGTTTGGTACAGTGAAAAAGAAAAGAAATGATAATATTAATTAGAAAACAAAATAAAAATAAAATAAAATAAAATAAAAGGAGAGGACATTATTAACCACTCATTGTGTTTGGTTATTAGGTAAAGGAAAAGAAATGAAATTATAGTAATTATGTTTGGGGAAAGAAAGAAAATGAAAGTATTTAAATAAATTTACATTCATATCATTTCTTGTAGATTTTGTCTTTTATAAAAGTAAGGACAAATTTGGTATTAATAAAATTTCATTAAAAATGTTAGTCTTTCATTTCTTTTCCTTCCCTTTCCTTTCATTTTTTTTTAGAGGATTACAAAACCAATACTTCATGCCTAATTTGTATCCTTCCGAACCCCTCCGTTTCCTTTCTTTTCTTTAAAAAAATTATACCAAACACACTATTTCATTTTCCTCCATTACCTTTTTTTTTTTATTTTTTTTTATTTTCCTTCATTTACCCTCCAACCAAACTGGGCCTAAGTTACTTGGTAGAGTTGCATAACGAATCGTCGTAAGTCAATGACCATTCTTGTTTGGATTCGACTTGGAACAAGAATGCGTAACATTATCGTTTCTATCTGAACTCACTACACTCTCATTGCGATTGAACCACTTTGACGATGGAAAAACCTGTAACGATCTGGCCATGGACTTGGCTCGTAGTGTGAACGCTTGGCGTGACATACAATCAATGATTAGGCATGCTCCAATCCACTTGCAATGAACCATATGCTAACTATCCAATTGAAAATCTTAAGTTATTAGGTAGAGTTGCTTACCCAGCCTTATAAGTTGAAGACCTTTCTGGTTCCGAACAACCTAGAACCCATAAAATTAGGCTTGCTTCAATAGCCTGAGCAAAGCTGTTGGAGGAGCATTTTCTACTTTGGGTTACAATGAACTCAGGTCCACATAGAAGCTGTAGTTGAGTTAATGCCAACCATAGCTTGGGCCTTGAACAATGATGTATTGGAAAGAATTTTGGTCCACAATCACGAGATTTAACTTTTAAACTTCAAACCCATCTGATTTGAGAAAAAATTGTTGAATCATTTTGCAAAACTTAACCAGGGCAGGACTAAAAAAATTCACCAAGTTGCCCTAACAATATCTTCAATCCAAAGTTTATTTGTCTCCATGCATGTAATCGGAAGACAAATTTGTGGACTTATTTAAGCTGAAGATTAAGAAAATCTTGAGATCCAATTATTCAATGAAGAAAAGAGAGTTGAAAAAGGAAAAACAAGTAGAGAGGTCAAGATGCCAAACATCATCAGATCAATTATTATGCCATGCCCAATGGATTTGGCTTTCCAAATGGTCCACCTCACCCACAACAAACTATATCTAAATTCTGAAAACAAAACAAAACTTTTGTCCTCAAGAGGTCCGGGAAAGACAGTGGAGCCTCCATGACACCACCTGTTTTTGTCATTAAGATACCAAGATTTTGTTAGATATACACAAAGATATAAGCATCTACTTAAGATTCTCCTTCCCATAACATTTTATATTTATATGGGAATTTTCAGGAAATATGAACTGTAAGTATTTGAAGAGCAAAAGTATAGAGAGAATTCAAATCTAATATATATATATGTAAGTATTTGAAGAGCAAAAGTATAGAGAGAATTCAAATCTAATATATATATATATATATATATATATATATATATATATATATATTAGATTTGAATTCTCTCTATATATATATAAAAATAAGATTTGAATTCTCTCTATACTTTTGCTCTTCAAATACTTACAGTTCAAAAATAAAAGACATGTTATGTTATTATTTGCAGCTGTATGCATAAATTTTGTAGGTCACAAATTCACAATGAGCAAGACCACACAGTAGGGATGACAATAAAAGACATGTTATAAATATATATATTAGATTTGAATTAGATTTGAATTATATATATAAAAATAAGATTTGAATTCTCTCTATACTTTTGCTCTTCAAATACTTACAGTTCAAAAATAAAAGACATGTTATGTTATTATTTGCAGCTGTATGCATAAATTTTGTAGGTCACAAATTCACAATGAGCAAGACCACACAGTAGGGATGACAATAAAAGACATGTTATATATATATATATTAGATTTGAATTAGATTTGAATTCTCTCTATACTTTTGCTCTTCAAATACTTACAGTTCAAAAATAAAAGACATGTTATGTTATTATTTGCAGCTGTATGCATAAATTTTGTAGGTCACAAATTCACAATGAGCAAGACCACACAGTAGGGATGGCAATTCAGTGGGTTCGGCTGTTTATATTTTGAATTTAGAATTATACCTTAATAATTGATCACTAAAATATATAGCATACATAAAAAATTTACATGAGTTGTGGAAGGAGATCGGTCGTTAGAGGATCTTGTCCCACGTCAAACGTGGATGGAAAGAGTCTTGAACATATAAGTAGCACCACTAAACAATTAAGTTTTGGGTCACATGACAAATATATGACCATACAAATGATTTGAGATTCTTGGTGTTGTTTTATAAAAATTAAATTATATTGACATTCTTTGAGGTTTGACAAATTCTATATAGGTAGACTATTCAATATTTATTACTTTGACTCTCCTAAGCTCGTTCGGTGGAGCCCGAAAAGTGACTTTAAGTGTAAAAAGTCAATAATGTCCTTATATTATATTTTATATATATATATATATATATATATATATTGTATTTTATAAATTTTGATCAACAAATGCTACTAGTGTTGTTTAACAAAGGTCAATGTAATAAACTATCAACCCTAACATCAGGGGAGGTCAGGGCAGGCCCTGGCCCAAGACGACCAACGCCCATAAGTGATAGTCCCCCCGTCCCCCCCCCCCCCCAAAAAAAAAAAAAAAAAAAAAAGAAAACTATTAATTGAGGTTAAATTGGGCAATATGTTCACAATGGGTTGACCGAGTGATGGTGAGTCCGAAGATCTGACCAGTCTGTATAATTATGACATTGTGAATGATCCAAATAAAGCCCGTTAGGTTGATCCATGTCTTATTTGGTTTTTGGGTTCCAACTTATTAATTAGAAACAAAAATCTGACCATTTTTCTTGTGGTACCTCAGCTGGTTGGTCTTACTGGGCTGAAGAGGCCCAAATAGCAAACTGTAAGCTTTATTGTTTAAGAGTGCCATTTTAAAGCTCATCAGGCAGGCCGAGACATTTATTATAATCAGCATAGCTTTTGATTTTTTATTTATTTTTTTTATCCCGACAACGTTAGTGTGTAAGGCTTAGTTTGGTTAGCGTGATTTATGTAAAATGTTTCTTTTTGTTTCTTCATACTCACACAAATGAGAGTTTTCTTACACAAATTAATACTCCTAAATTGATTACAACACTTTTACTCTTGAAATTAAAATTATTCGCTACACTTACAAAACAAAGTAAACTAATCTAATAGCAGAGTGCTAATATAAAATGAAAACTTCCAAAAAAAAAAAACTATATAAAGAGACATGTACATATCTAGATATGTATATTTATTTATAAATCTAATTATATATATTATTTTATCACTATTATTATTATTATTAAATTCATAAGGGTAATTTAATTGTATATATTATTTTACTAATATTATTATTATTTAATTGTATATATTATTATTATTTTACTATTAAATTCATAAGGGTAATTTTGACATATAAAATCATTTTCCTTTCATTTTCTTGATATCCAAACTAATTAAACAACATTTTCTCACAAGTTTCTTCAAAAAAAATTTTGCTAACCAAATGCATAATAGAAAACTAATTTTTTTTTTCTTTCACTTCACTTTCCTTTCTTTTACTTTCCATCATCAATTTTTAGCTAACCAAACGGACCTTAAGAGTCTCAGGGGTATAGAGTTGTCAGAGATTCGAAAGGTAAGTCATTGAAGTCTCGCTTTCGAGCCGCATTCCTGACTTAAATAGTGCGTATGTTATGGAACCAATACACGTGCTCTATTGGGGGGAGGGGGAATTGTTAGTGTGTTCGTATGGGGAAAGATGGGAGTGAGGTTCGAACCTCGGCGGAAGCTGCCCTACCGCTGGATTCATTAAATGATGAGATCTTTTATATATGGATTAATTGATGGGATTTTTATTTTTTATAAACGAAAACGATAAATTTTGATTTTATTTATTTATTTATTTATTATTAATTATTTTTTTATGTGGTGAAAATGGTGCCCTTATTTTAATACAAGGGAAAATAGTACAGACACTCTTCATATTTGAGATAGAAACATCCATCTACAACTTAAATACTTTTTGGCCAATAACAATCAAAATTAGAGAACGTCATTGTTCAAAAAATGTATAAATTGTACATAACTATCTTTAATCCAAACTTAAAAATTGTCAATGTAATTTACCCATAATATAATGATGATGGGGCTGACACCATTTCCATTCATATAAAAGTAGTTTCATGAATTTTTATTATTTATTATTTATTATTTATTATTATTTTCCCTGACAAACAAACGGCAAGAAGATCAACACGAACAATCTTTCACGGCTAACTCCAAAATATCAACCGGAATATGAATAAGAGCAATATGAGGCCGAGAAAGTTGAGCAAGCACATGAGTAACTCTGTTGCCATATTGACGAACATGACTAAGGCCAGAACAGGAGAACCACTCCAAAAACACTTGCACATAAATAATAAAAAAAACCCAAGAGAAACAATCTCAACCGGGCCACCATCCACTCCATTCACTTGCACATCACGTACCCCCTTATATTTTGATGATTTGGATTTCAGACATTCCATTACATTTTTTCCTTACACACTCTACAATACCCTAGAGGTACATAAATAGAATAAATGCCGGGCCGACAGAGCACACTTGTGTAATGTGATTTGACTTTGCGCCATTTGTGTTATTTGGATTTTATTCTATAAAAGACACTTGGAAAAATAATTGTGAAAATTTGACAATTAACAAAACACAAGACTACCGGATGTAGAAAAGCCTTTCTTTTTGGTACCTCAATAAACCTGTATACTTGCCAAATAACTAAATAAAAATTGAACCTATATATATGGATGAATAACCATCAGAAATTGAACCAATTTTTTATAGATGAACTTATAACAAACTTTATCACCTGATCTAAACTGGATTTTTTTAATTATTTTTTATTAATTTATCTACGGAGATGGAAGTTAATGAATTAGATTTTCCATGGAGTGAAGACAGACCTCATGATTGAGGACTGTTGTGATAATCATCATCACTCATGGAGGAAAGTATACATACTGAATGTTCATCTATTTTCTTGCTCTCACGTGGATGTTGGAACTCTGATATATAAATTATGCGCCAATCATGGAGCTGGATGATTGAAACTTCAGCAAACAGTTGTTTAGATTCTTCAATCAAATATTTATCTTTCCATTTATTTCATTGCAGCATATATATTCAGCAAGAAGGGTCCGGTCTACAGCGTAAAATTATTTCTGCCAGCAAACTTTTGTGTTTTTTTTGTCAGTAAACAACTAAACAAGGGATCTTACATATAGTCCACCACCAATCAGGCCTCCATTGTATATTATGGTACTATATATATACTATATAGTCCATTATTCTCTTGTGGGGTAAGCTCATCTGAATCCAAACAAGGGATCTTACATCCCCAGATTCATTTACCTGTAAACTCTGCATTATTATTGTTCATCATGAAAGTACAATTTTAAAAAACATTGAACTCTCACCCGCCATTGCTCCAGACAAATTCCTCTTAATTGTATGCTGGACTGGACCCCTTCAATTTTAAATGTAATGCAAATATTTCCTTCATCTGTTACTCATTTAACCAAATTATTCAACAAGCTCATCATAGCTATGTTTGCAAAATTTGGGTACTACTTATCAACCATAAAAAAAAAAAAAAAAAAAAATTAGCAACAAAAAATACGCAGTTGTCAACATCGCAATTGAAGTATATTAATGTTTGTACATTTATTTATTATATTTTGGACCTACTAAAAATATATAGTTTCCAGCTAGACTAAGATTTTTATTATGCACAGAGATTTACAGTAGGGGACCACCAAGAAGTGATGGCCAAAACCACATTAATCCATCCAGAATTTAGATTTCTTGGTCTCATCACATTCATCATCTTTCTTGGTTCCTCACTTCCTCCTACAGCTAGACCCCACTCGGTCTCCCTTGCTATATCTCTCACGGGGGTTACAGATAACGACCTTAGATTCCCCTACAACCTAATGGTGAAGTAACCTTAGGAACCGATCTTCTTAAACTGATCCTATCTGGTTTCATAACCTATATCTAACTTCTATATTAACACTTGCTCTAGCTCAAAGATTCATGCTTTACTCCTTGGAGTAATTTCGGTTTCTAAGTTGTTGATGGCTGTACTTGAATCTTCCACAAGTACGAGTCAACTTACTGTACGTCATTATATAATGTCATTTATATTCCTAACTTCATGATAACATCAGTTTCTACTTACATAAGATTAATCGGATTTGTCCAACTGTCGAGCTCCCTCCTTTGAGTTATTTTAGTTTCTAAGTTGTTGCTAACTTTGCTTGAATCTTCCACAAGCAAGAGTCGACTTACTACACGTCATTATGATGTCATTTATATTCCTGACTTCATGATAACATTAGTCGACTTATATAAGATTAATCGGATTTGTCCAACTCTCGGGCTCTCTATCATCACTCTTATGATAATTGGGTAATCACTCTTATGATAATTGGCGCTCAAGATTTCCCAAATGGAGCATTTTAAGAAAATAATTATAATAATAAAAAAATAACACTACTACAATAGTAAAATTACAGGATTCCACTCTATATAAGTGTGAAAGCTTGGGTGAAGATTGAATTATGAAAGCAAGTAACCCTTAACCTTCTATAATCTCCACTACTATTCACCAGAAAATGACTTCTTTTAAAGAGAAATAAAAGATGGGGAAGTTTTTTCAACTCTTTTTGAGGGTTAAGGAAGATGTTGGGGCATGAAATGTACAATTAGAAAGCACTAAAGCAACAATACTTAAAAAGAAAGAGCTCTCTTTCATCCACATGATGAAATTGACCATTTCTAAACAGAGCAAACAATCTACGTGCTCATCCCATTTTTCAATTCTGAAAGCGACTATGAGCTCAGATCGATATCAAGTATGCCAATGAGATATCAAAAAACTTTTTGCTGTTTGTCCATCTGGGTTGCCTTCTTTTGAGAGAATTCTATTATCATCTCTCTCAAGACACTGCTAAAATAAGAATGGTTGACCTGTTTTTAGGAGGAAATATGAAGAAACTTGATCACAACAAACTACTCCAGTAGAGTAGTACTAGTACAAACTCAAGAAACCAAAGTTCAGCAAACAGTTGTGACATACAAGTCTTGAAAAGAGCAATCAAATCAAATCAATCCATCATGGATAACAAAGTTGAGCTCCATGAGCACACTTGTGGAGCAAAGCAGAAGAACATAAACTAAATAATATAGAAGCAAACCGGGGACTGAAAAAACCCTAAATACAGTCAGATTAATTTCTTCTTCCCGCGGAGTGGCCATTGAACTGAAGTGACTGAAATCTCCTCCCTTGCTTGCTTTGTATGCGCTTCAACAGCACCAATTGCTAATTTTTCATGTTGATGACAATTGACCCTATTGGAGTCCTGAAATGTCAGTTCAATGTAAAGGTAGACCATTTCTGGGAAAATTATTTAAAAATTGGGTAAATCAAAGTAACGAACTTTTAACACAAATGGGTATTGAAGTAATCACCTGCAAGAAGGATAAAGTTCCAAGTCTAGAGCTCATTCAATGGCGAGAATCAGAGGAAGCAGAGGACGGCTTGTCAGAAAGGCCGTCGTGCTCCTCTTCTTCACCCTGAATTCGTGCCGGAATTCGGAATCCGGGGAATCCACCGCCTGAGGTGAATCCAATGCCGGACATGGATGATGGATGGATCGGCAGCACTTGATGGTGGTGGTGCTGATCACCGGCTGCAATTGAAAACGGATCTATCCAAGCACGAAGTGAAGGTGAGTTACTGGACTGAAGGGGTCCCCTCTGAGCAAACTGCTGGTTCTGGTCGAACAACGGCTGCAGCAACGGCGGCGTTGGCGGAGGCGCACTGAAAACAAACCCACCTCCTCCACCATCACCGCCGGTGTCTCCACCGCCATTCCAACCCAACATTCTTGAAAATCGGCCGAGCTCTCCGTGCTGGTGCTCAGACCACCCCGACCCATCAAACCCCATCTGGGTGTGCCCTGAAAAAAGGGCTTGCTGGGTTTGGTGATCATGCGCAGAGCTCTGATGCGATTGGTGGTGATGAAGAAGAACTGGGTCTTGGAAGGATTGAAGCGAGAGCCTCAGATCCTGGGTCTGACAGCTAGTTCTCGACAGCAAATCGCGTGGTGGGAAGTTCTGAAACTGAATCACCGACGAATTGGTCTCGGCCGAAGCACCCATTGGAAAGAAAGACTTGATGTCGGAGTCCATTGTCGGCGGCAAGAAGCTCGACTCATTCTCGCTCATGTGCATCTGTTGATGCTGGTTCTGAATGTTACTACATCTCTTACCTGAAGAAGACGAACCAGCGACGTTTTCGACCATCTGTTGCTTTTTAGCTTCGAAATTTTCCTTTTCAGCAGACACAGTAGTTGGGTTCCATGCGGGTAGTTCTGCGAGCTCGTCAATGGCGGTCTTGGCCTTTTTGATGAGCCAATCGACCGCTTTGCTGGGTCGGTCGAAGCCGAGACGGTCCTGGACGTCGTAGAACTGAATTGCTGTGTGCGCAGATAATCGGACACGCCGGTCTCTAGGACCCTTTGCGGTGCAGACCTTGCTGTGCCGATCTTTGCGTCCGGTGGACCGAACAATGTGGCCTCCTTGTACTTCAACGATCTCGCCGCCACCGGCGTTTCTCAACCCGAATTTTGACGACGATGTTGTTTGGTGGTTTTGCTGGTGAGTGTCTCCCATTTTCTCTGGCAATCTCGCATGTTCGACGTTTTGCTCCAATGAAGATGAAGATGGGAAGCAGGAGCGTTTATTGGGTGGTTGTGGAGGCTGATATTGTATCTCTAATAGTGGGTGTCCATGAAAGGCTGCTTCTTCTTGTTGTTGTTGTTTTTCTAATTGGTCTTGGTCCTCTTCTTCTTCTACATATCTTGAATTTTGAACTTGGTTTTGGTTTTGATGATGATACTGTTTTTGGTGGTGCTGCTGATGATGATCATTCCTCTGAGGATCCAGTCTCAGACTCTTATGCTTTTCCTGTTCCAGCTTTTGATTGAGAACACACTTTTTGTTTAGTGGGTTAATGTTGTTTTCTCACTCCTCTCTCTTTGTTTTCCACTCTTCTCTAGCTTCTTGTTGTTGTTGTTGCTGTGCTGCTTCTTCTGTACCTGCCACCACTCTGAAACCTGATGTTGCTGCCTCTGCCTCTGCCTCTCCCGAAAGGCCCTGCCATTCAACCCTACAAATTCCATCACCCTAATCACAACCCAGAATTAATCCTAAATAACAGAGCCTAACCCACCTAGCCCATCTCTGATCTGTCTCCACTCAGATTGTGATAATAGGCCTCTATGTGTACATAGTACTGTGTACTAACCAAACTGTTCAAATATATATTATATAGAGAGATGACCAAAATTCAAGAGAGATTACAGTAAATGTCCTGCAATTGTTTCATATTTTTCAGAGAGAAAGGGCAAGAGGGGGTGTGGAGGTGGTGGTGGAACAGTAAATAATATAGGGCAATAGGAAAGAGGCATACTTTCACTGTCCTATAACAACCCTTGATGCCACTGATAAGGGTGGCAGTGTTTGGTCAGAAAGATGATTAAAGATCTTTGTGATCTCATCTGTGCCTCCTGCTCTTGTACTAGCTACACACAAACACAAATACCAACTTAAAATCTCTTTTTTCAATCAACCAGGCCCAACTTTGGTCCCTTTCTTCAACTATATCTCACCCATCTTTTCTCTCTCATTCAGTTGTTTTCAATGTTTTTTCCTTTCTTCTTTTTTAATTAGCATTAGTTAAAACTGTTTGTTATATATTAGCTCTAAGAAGTTTCTTAATGGAAGGATGAATTGATTAATGATAGATAGTGAAGTTGGAGCTCAGATTCTTTATGGTGTGCTCTATCGCATCAGATGGATTTCAGCAAGGACACGCATGAGTACTCCTATTCGTCCCATGATCTTAGCTCAAATAGAGAGAGCACTCGTACAGATCAATTTTGGTCAATCATTAATTGACATTTAAATAAGTAAGTTAATTTTATTCAGCTTTTTACCTACGCAGTTCCATAGTTTCTCCGAGAAGTAGATCGTTGAAATGCCACTGCCACCCCCTTTGAAAGTGACCTCTTATCGCTTTGGTGGTTTTGTCTAGCTTTAATTCTTCTCTCTCTCTTTTTATTTGCTGCTTCACTTAAAAAGAACAACTCAATCCTTGCCCTCAAATTTTCATCTCCCAAACCAGCTTTTTCTGGTTTGTTGGATACTTGTACATGACATCTCAAGGTCGTGTCCTTCAATCTTCTTTTCTGTGCATTATTGTCCTTGTCTTTAGAGGGTTAAATTACTCAAGTGCCCCCACATAAATATTTTTGGTTTCTCTCACAATTTGCAGCAAAATCCTTTAATTGCTTATATAATGGCACTAGTGCTTAAACATCCTGTCTGATGCACTATCATGTTCCACTTTTTCGGTCGTGCAATCCTTTTCAGTCTACTTCTCTATGCATTTTGTGATGACAACCTACTGACCTAGCTTACTCAGCTGAGCTTTTGTGAAAGTTTTTAAAATCTATCCATCCATTAAATATATAACATGCTTTGCTATTGTTGTGAAATTAGATGAGAATAAACCTTTTTTACATGTAAAAAGCGAAAGGTTTAAGTCACTGCATGCAAGGACAATTGTGCATATATATATATATATAAAGAAATTAGATTAAATAATTAATGATATGTTTTGAACCAAAAAATGGATGGTGAGGTAGTTTTTTTAGTAGTAACTAGGGTGGTTATTCAAATAAATATATATATAAAAAAAAAGGTAAAGTTGAAGGAAATGAGATAGAGTTTAATATATTTGAAATATTTGTCACCATCGCCATTATTAACAAAATATATTCGAATGATTTATGTAAATAGAGAATAATATAGTCATTATGTTATTCTTATTAATATAAATTTAATCAGATGTGTCCAATGATCGAATTCCCTACCATTATGTTCTCTCATGAGTATCTTCATCTCATATTGATGTGTTGGTCACAAAAATTCTCTAAGTAAACACTAGAAATTGAATCTATATATTCACCATAATTGACCATCAATTTGGGGGTAGGGAGCTTAGTGGCATTTTTAGAGCCTTTCATTTTTATTTTTTCTTAATTGGTAAAATAAAATTGAAAATTTTGCAACGTTGTCTTGATATGGTGAATTGCTTAAGCACCACACATATTATGATAAATATCTTTTTTGCACTCACTTCACATGTTTTCAGATGTACAGTAAATTATTGTAGTAATTGCTCTTCTAGTGCCTATTTGCCTAACACAACCTGCCTAGTCCACTATTATGTTGTCACTTTTTTTTTTGTTGAACAATCCTTTTCAGTGTACTTGTCTACCTGTTTTTTGATAGGTTGTTAAACTATCATTTAGATTTTCCTAAAATAATTATCTAGCTTTTAGACAAAGTCTTTAAAAGTGAGCTGTCAAAAGAAGTCTTTATAAATCATCCCACGTTTTTTTAACCACAGATTTGCGTGCAACAACTAGTCGAACACTTTTCCAACTAACCAAAAAAAAAAAAACACTAGTTGAACACTTAATTAGTTTTGGAAATATATATATTTTTTTTCATAAATTAGTTTTGGAAATATATATATCTATGTTTTCAACCAAGCATGCATGAGAAAGTGTAGTAAAAAAATTAAGAAAGTAAAACTTTAAGCCCGTTTGACATGTGTTTTGTTTATATTATTTTTAGTAATAAAGATATATTTGATGCGATTTTATTTTATTTGACACAGTGTTAAAATACTTAGTGAAAAGTGACCCAAAACCAAAACAGCAAAAAGATATTTTTTCTTATTTTGATAATTATTCATGACCTAAAACTATAACCGTACATGTTTTTGTTTTTGATATTTTCATAACAAAATATCGTTTTCAAACGTTTTTTCCAAAACACTCGTACAATTTTAGCCAAAATCAAAACACCTCAAACAAAACGCATACCAAACGAACCCTTAATTATTTAAAACGATTGGGGTGAATATCCAAATATAGAAAGAATTAATGATGAAGTTGGAGTAGATGAGACTAGATTGTGAATAATTTTGTAATCCATGAAACTTGGAAAGAATGATCCATTCAATCTCTTTAATCTTTTTTCTTCTCTCTTGGTGCCCTCTCCCTAGTAAACAAAGGAAGTATGTTCTTTCCTTCCAATTTTTCCTATCAAACACAGCAAAAATAAGGGCTACTATGAGCAAAATGTCTTTGTATTGTGAGATTTGAGTTACTAAATACCCTTCAAATGTTATGATAAATTCTCTTTGTGCCCCTCACACAGTACAATAATTCTTCTAATTGCTTGGTCAAAGCTTAAACATCCTTTCTGATTCCACCATCATGTCAGGCGCAAATCCCCTGTAGTCTGTTTTTCCGGCAGTCCCTACAGTTTACATTATTAAGGCCTTGCTTTGGCCACGTATTTTGCTCTTTATAATGGGTGTGCTTGGCTTTGCACAATAAAAATAAGTCAACTAACGGCGTAAACTAAATGCTAAAAGGTGCCAACTGTAAACCAAAAACAAAAAACAAAAAAAAGAAAGAAAATAATAAAAAGGAAAGTTGAAATAAGTTTAAACGCTAAAATGTGCCAACTGTAAACCAAAAACAAAAAAACAAAAAAAAAAGAAAGAAAATAAGAAAAAGAAAAGTTGAAATAAGTTGAAAGCACAGAATTTTTTGCGCCCCCGCTCCTTCACTTTCCCTTTTCCTTTCCCTTTATTCCCTTTTGGTTTTCTTATTTCTCTCCTCCCGTTTTCGTTTTGTTCCATTATTTCCTTTTAATTTCTTTAATCCAATCCCTAATTCGTCTCTCTTGTTTCATAAAAAACATATTGTTTTTGAATTCCTTTTTTATTCAAAACCCACTTCCTCCCTCCTCTATTTTTACTTTTTTATTTCCTTTTTTGAATCAAAACCCAGATTGACATAATACCTTTCAGAAATTGGTGATTTCTTCAATAAGATTCTCCTCTTCATCAACAGGAAAGAAATCTACACTGAGCTGGTATCTACAATTCACCTAAATAATGTTTCATGGTTGGTAAGAATACATGTTATTAATATTGTGCATTTAATAGTATTGTTCATTTATTGTTCAAAATACAGGGAAATTTATATTTTGAACTGAACATTGTAGATTTAGAACTGAATTTATAATTCTTTCATTTGTCAAATGTCATTGTAGTAAATTTAAAATCTTTCATAATTGATTTTTTGAACTGACTTGGCTTCATTAGGTAGTAATGTGTTATCCAAAAATTTTGGTATTAAATGTATGCGGCAATTACACATTCCAGAGGTTATTATTTGATATTTATGAAAGAAAAAAACATTATGAAGTTTAACAAAAAAGCACACGGATCACCTTCACCATCAAAACTAGGTATTGATACAGTGCTGAATAACTAATGTTACACATAAATTTATGAAAATTCTTTCATTTGTCAGTGTGCCTATTTTGGTATTAAATGCATGCGACAATTACATATTCTAGAGGTTATTATTTGATATTTATGAGAGAAAAAATTTTGTGAAGTTTAATAAATAGGTACACTGATCACCTTCACCATCCAAATTAGGTATTGACACAGTGCTCAATAACAATGCCACACATAAATTTATGAATTTTTAATTCTTTCATTTGTCATCTGTTAGTCTAAATTATGATCTTTTTTTTGTTAAAATTGACATTGGTTATGCATTGTAGGGTATCTGAAATCTTAGATAATTATAGGGTTTTCTTCTATAATCTTCAATAAGCATTGTAGTGAATGTAAAATCTTACATAATTGATTGTTTGAACTGAGTTGGCTTCATTAGGTATCAATATGTTATCCAAAAATTTTGGTATTAAATGTATGCGGCAATTACACATTCCAGAGGTTATTATTTGATATTTATGAGAGAAAAGATATTGTGAAGTTTAATAAATAGGCACACTGATCACCTTCACCATCTAAATTAGGTATTGACACAGTGCTAAATAACTAATGTCACACATAAATTT